GTTTGTCTAAATTTCTCAAAAAGTACACCGATTCTGGAGCTGAAACTACGTACTTAGTTGTTTATAATATTCTACCGCTGACAAGTTGCGATTATACTCTCACTCTCAGTGTTTACGAACGTTCAATCAAGGTTTTCCTCTCTTTTTTTTTCTTGGTTGCTTTTACTTCGGAATGCGCGGAAATCTGCTGAGATTTCGGGAAAAGTCCATTTCTCGTCTTCTTTGGAGCGGAAACTTCATGAAGAAATCCAGCGTCACGCCATCGTGATAACATACACTGTTTATGACAAATGACCGGTGTTACGCCAATAGTTTGGTGTAGATCAGCCAACTTTAGGATGTTTCAAATGACAGACAAGTCTAACGGTGTTTCGTCAGATGATTTCGGATTGCTCAAATTCCCTTGAAAGAAGGTACAGTACTCGGAATCTGTATGTTATGCACACGATTTAAGGTACATTTTTGTAGTTACTTCGGGTAGTCCTCCATGAAAGTTGAACAATTTTTTTAAAATATTAAAGCTAGAGGCGAGATTTCTCTTAGCTCTTCGGGATCTTGCTTAGAAGATAACATTCTTTCAAAGTCTTGCACTTTTCATTTGTCTGAAACGTCTTTTGTTGAGAACATTAGATGTAAATATTGCCAATTTATGCAATATCTGTTTTTGAGCTTCGTTCGCGAATTGCCACCAGGAAAAGTAGAGGCCGAGCCGCAGAGATTTTTACATATTTAAAACCAGAATATTATAAACAACTAAGTGAGTAGTTTCAGCTCCAGAATCGGTGTACTTTTGGAGAAATTTAGACAAGCGTTTTCCCAGTTTTACCCTACAGCAAAAATGACCGAAACTGTACCAGGATCAATAATCTATTAGTGTGTTCACATTCACTCCCAGGGAAAATTGAATGCATCAAAGTAAAGACGAATGATGTGACTATGTATGCTAGAAGTACCAATCTGAAATGTTGTATTTAGCTTGAGCTAGAGAAATAAACATTTAACACTTCTTTTGCGACGTTTTTGTCTGAAAATGAGGCCCCAGACCTCGAACAAGCAGCCGTTGTTACCATGACAACAAGAGTGCTGCAACCTTTAAAAAGAGCATTTTCGTGCATCCCCCCGGAGTGCCTAACTTTATGCAAAATTTGAAGGGGTTGAAAATTTTCATTTCCCAAGATGTTTGATTCTTACAGAGACACGTTCTTAAATCGAAATAGTCGTGACCAATTATGATCGGGAATCTTGTCATGGTTTTCATGTGAGCTCGTAATCCATTTAAGGTGAGGAGATTGGGATAAAATATCACCATAAAATCAATACTGTGGAATGCCTATAGTAGAATTATGTGAAGACTGTAACGTAGTCCAAACGAGTGCAAACGATGATAACGCAACGGTTTCAATAAGTCTCATAAAAGCCCGCCATTACTAGGCGTAATACAACAACAACAACAACAACCCGGAATACATTTCATTCTACGCGCATGCCCGAAGGGCCTATGACATCACAACATCGTTACAAAGACTTCATCTACATCTCTGATGTACGTTATGATGGTCAGCAAAAAAAAGGGGGAGGCGGGAGGCTCTCATAAACGGACATTCTGGAATGTGGTGTTGTAAGCATATAGATTGGTTACAGGCCAGATGGGTGGGGCTGTTGATAAGGTCAGTACTGAAATTCAGTGGCTGTTTTCTGCTCCTTAGCTGCTCCACAATTTAGAGTATCACAAGATAGCCCAGGACAGAAAGTCATCACAGTGATCATTGGCAAATCTGTAACCCTAAACTGTTCTGCCGATGGATATCCCCGTCCTACTACGACGTGGTACAAGGACGGAAAGTTGTTTAAGGAAAGGAAAAGTGGCAAAAAAACCGATTGGGAAGATAGGAAAACCGGGTTTACATTGAAGAGGCTGATTGCGTCTGATATTGGGTCATACTCGTGTAATGTGAGCAACCGATATGGATGGATTTACCGTACATTCAAAGTAGATGCCTATGGTAATACAAAGAATACAGTAACTGTAAATATTATTAACTTCTTACTAAGAGAACGTGAGGGCCTACCGGGGTATATTGGGCCGAGCTCGTAGCAGTACGGACCAAGCACAGCGAGGTCTGTACAAAATCAGAGAAAACTGTGAATGAGTCGTGGATACATTACGTTTGAATGGGTTTTGAAGAAAATTAAGTTCCTTTTTTCTAAAAAAAGCGACCATTGTATTCAGTTTTTAACGAAGCGACCACAATCGTTCTCAACTGAAGAGAATTCCAAGCCCTTTATAGTCGAGATCTTGTCATTTCGCGCGCGAGATTTCAGTACGTGCTGGAACGAATGACAGCTTTTGTACTTGTTCGTACTCTTCACCTTTAAAACCGATATGTGTATGTTTTCATTTTTTTGACAAAAATTTGGACCGAGACCAACGCTGTTCCAACATATTTTCAACGTTCAGGGGTGTACACACACTGATTTTCACATACCGGTATTAATATTTGCATAGTCTACAAACAGAGGAGAGGTAAAACCACCAGAAAGGTAAACAAATGGTTAGTCACGAAAATAACGCTTCACCTTCCCCTATAAACATTCGCCAGTTACTCATTTTAGCTTGTAACAATATAAATAATGACAGCTCGCAGTGAGAAGACTGAAGGCCCGAATTGTATTTAAAAACGATTATGGCCTGAACGCTTTGTTTAAAAACAAAATATACCTGGGAACAGCAAGGAATATTCCACAATAATGCGAACGATGCGGTGAAAGATGATCGCGGAAAAGCGATTGCATTTAGCGCCTTCACTCTTAGTTACACCTTAAGACTTTCAAGAGCTTTCACTCGGTTACACAAGTGCTGAATGCGATGAGTATTAATCGAAACTCCCTCGAAGAAAAGTCGAGTTATATTTTAACGTCGCAACATTACTTCTGAAAGTTGATAGCCCTAGGCGTTTCGATATAATTTCGGAAGGTCAATATTATTTGGTCTGACGTTGACCTATCGATTTTCTTACACCCGAGTGAGTGACAAATTTGTATATTCTTTCCCTCACAATAGTCGTCCCACGCTAGCGCTTCGCCTCCCATGACTAAAAATGAACTCCTATTAGTGCTCAAATCTGGCCGGTCGTAACCAATTATGATGGAGAATCTTGCTATAGTTTTTATGAGCCCTCATAATCCATTTATGATAAGGAGACTAGGTAACCTTTTAAAAGCTTTTTGAGCTTCTTGAAGATTCTCTGTTAAAAGTGTTAGCAAGCGACAGGGAATGGATTGACTCAACTGAAGTACCAAAGTTCAGTGGCAGATACGGTAGCCCAACAGTTCGTGTAATGGTTTCCTGCATGGTCGGTTGTAGAACTGGAGAATTATTATTTTAGACATGTGAAACCATTAATACAAGAGTTATGAGAAATCCAAAACGACGGAATAAACGGAATTCGGGAGAGAAGATACCTACACCTTTATTATGGAGCCTCAGAACTTTTTGTACAGTTACAGATCGTTAGTGAGTACAGTGCTTGTAAACTGCGTCCACTACATAGTTGTGAGGTCCCTTAGGCCAAGACCATCGCAGTATCGAATTGCCTAAGAAAGGCAAATTCCCTCAAAAAATACCTATTATTTCATCCAGAACCGTGGATATGAAATCTGTGTATGTTAATCAGTGCTGGTCTTGGCTTATTTATTTCCCCAAATTTTCAGTCCCTTCTAGTTGCGACCCCAACGGAGTAACGTGGGATTTTACCCACACCAGCGCCCAGAAGGATTTAAATCGGACACATGAGCCAGGGGGCACTCTTCCTTGTAACAAAGATCGCCCTGATGTTCTCACTGGTAAGGAATGTTCCAGTGCATCTTACTGTGATAAACATGAGATAAAATTCTTAAAAAACACTTGCAGGGAGGGCAAGTTGAGTATCTGCTTCTTTAGTCTCTACACGTTTTCAAATAGCGAAATGTTGAAGCTCCTCGAAACTCTTTGTGCGTTAAGCATTAACTGCTGTGATACGCTGGTCACATTTTCTTGTTTCCTCTACAAGGAAAAGTTTCAGATTTTTTCTGTTATGCGTTGAGGGGCCATGATGAAATGATTTGGAATGTAGCGTCATGGTAACCACTGAGGAAATCATATCTTGAGTGTTGTTAGGCACAAAATAATTTGTTTCAAACGCATTCTTCCTTCTTTAATTCATGCTGCGCCCAATAATCTCTAGCGCTAATGTCGAACTACGAAGATACAAACAATAAGTGACATCGTGTCCAAATTAGGTGAAGTTCGGCATTTTATGGTTATTGTCCTTTACTCACTCACTCGCACACTCATCCAGGTAATGTGGTGGCCTTGCCTCCTATTATATAGGAGGCAGTAGCCACAAAAATGATGGGAAATAGACGCATAATGCAAGTGATTAGAAGCGAGGAATCCGAAGTACGCCCATCTCCCGCCTCTTGAACTAAGAAAACACCAACTCAAGCAATCAGTTTTATATTTAATTTTTTTGTCAGGTTTATCTTGACTTGTATTGTTCATGATGTTTTTGATGGTGAGATATTCTAACTGTGTAATGTATTATCGTTCATCAGGGAAGAAGACTTATAATGCTCCTATCCCTGGCATCGTTTCAGCCTGCGTGCTGATTACTGTAGCTGTTTTAATTGTTATCTGCCGGCGCCGTCGGTCCAGAATCAAGAGATCCTTAAAGCTTTCAGTTTTACTGTCACGTAAGTCTAGCTTGAAATGTCGAAGTCGGCAGACTTTTTTTGATCTCTTTTCTTAACATTTTTTTTTTGTAGAGGCTTTGGACCAAGTTATTTATAGTCTTTTGCTTTGGATTGAAAAAAGACAAAGCTTGCATTTTTTAGGGAGAAAAAATTAACTAGAAAACCTTTTCCTTTCTTGTCATTATAAGCTAGCCAGCTAGTCCTCATGCTGGTATTGTTTTCAGTGAGTTTGATTCAAAATGTTGCTTTGATGATTTTTAAATCTGAGCCTCTATGCTAATATTATATCCTTATTTTCTTCTTTCAGAACATGAATTTGAATACGATGCGTTCGTTATTTTCAGCTCCCAAGACTCGGATTGGGTGATTAAAACTCTAATTCCAACTCTTGAGGAAAAACACCATTTTAAATGTTGTGTACACTACAGAGATTTCGTTGTTGGAGTACCTTTTCGTGAAAATATGGTCAACAGTGTTTATAAGTCCAGAAATACAATAGCTGTCCTGTCTAAGAACTTTTTCAATAGCAATTATTGTGGTTCTGAGATGGAATATGCCCTTCATCGACTTATGGAAAGGAAAGACGATAGTGTAGTGGTCATCATAATTGATGACGTTGACAGAGGAAAACTTCCTAAGGAATTGCGAAAAAGGAGCTATATAGATTATCAAAAGAATGTTGAAAAGGATCACTGGGAAAGAAAACTGGTTAATTGTTTAAAGATCCCAAACAATCAGCCAGAGGAACAGATTTTGTAAGAATCTTACTTTGTCTATGCGGTCACCTACTCGGAACATTGGCGGTGTATAAATAGATAAGTGACATTTTTTATTGTCGCTGAATCAATTTGCTTATTACTTTCCTTTCAACTCCTTGTTTTCTCAAGCGAGACATCGCTTGCTTGCCTACGCTTGGGCTTCCCAGAATCATATAATTTTGGCATCGAGTGGGTAAAAAGTTTAACATTTTAAGTGTTATGAACCAGTCTTGTAGAAAAATTGAAGAATCTCGTATTGTAATAAGAGAGAATGATTGTAACGAATTTGTATTGGGACTTGGAAGGAAATGAATCTTTTTAATCATGTATCAACCGTTTGCTAAGTGAATTTGAACTTTTTAATTCCTAAGATCTTATGAGACCCTTTACGAAGTGTTCATATTAAGAATGTCATTAACTTCTTAATTTTCATTAGGGCCAATGCTTTTTTGGTTACCTCGCACAGACCCTATCTATTTTAATATTGTTGGATTAAAACCTAAACTTCTTTGTACCAAAGATAGGTTCTCATCATGCTTTTAGGCTCGAGACTAACAGGTTGTAGTTCTTTAAGAATTACTGATTTTAGGAGTGAAATGATAGTAAAACAGAAGAAAGAAAATTAACACCTAGATGGTAAAGATAATTTACTTTTATTTTAACTTTGCCGGGTCGCGAAAAGTTTCGAAGAGATATTGAGAAAGGCAAGGATGTGACTGAGGGGCTTAATTTCATTCCAGCTGTGAGTTCTTTCTTATCTCTCAGTTCAATCACAGTTGTCCTAGCAGTTTGTTTATCAAATAGGCGTTGCCTCTTAAGGACAGATTTATTAGATGACAAGAATCGTGATTGACATTAATTCTGTACACTGATTTAAAAGCACTAGGTTATTATGTTTCAAACCAGTTTTTAGAAGGAGATAAAGAAAGAAGAAAGAAGTAATTTCATATGGTCTGTCCATAAATCCGCTTACCTGAAGAATCTGCTAACCTGTAAAGTGAGACTGTTGTAACGACCCACCACAGAAGTGAGTTTACATTGAAGTTTTCTGAATTTAGCTACGAGATTAAGACTTGATTTGCGTCTGCTCTGATTTCGAACTATAAATGTATTACTTTTAGAGTGAATAATTATTAAAGCTTGGCTTGATATTATGCGGTTTGTGATGGTCATTTGAGCTTACCAGTTCCGAGCAGGCGGTGTGCGTCACAAATTTCGGCCAATCGATAAGCTCCATTTGAACAATAGCCTTCGCGGTAAAGAACAGTGTACTTCGGAGGGAAGACTTCTCGAGAAAAGTCTATTCCCTGCAACGTGTTGTGATTCTTGGGAAAATCGACAATTGGAAAACGAAGATAGTTACATATACGTCGTTTTGGCTGTTACTGCGTTGGAGCTCCGTGAATGTTATACGAACTCTCAAAGTTGATGTGGTTGGATCAACCGCCATGTTGTTATATTTCTAAATTTCACACCTTTTCATTCGCTCGGCGATCGTTATTCTGGTCACTGAGCTGTTTGATATGGATGAGAGAAGAATTCAACCCTTCACCTTTTAAATTTCTGGGGTCTACCCGGGTCTACCCCGGACAGTTTTGGCAACAGAAGCCATGTCCAGACCGTCGATCGTCACCATGTTGTAATAACTCAAAGAAATTGCCTTGTAAAGCCAACAAGAGGCCTCGACTGCGGCGACGAGGCCATCTAAAGACTGCAAATTTGTTTCTTCTGTCACTCTTTCAAAAATGGTAGAAGGCTTTTAATTCCCATTCCAAAACTACTGGAACATACTAACTCTTGTGTATTATGCAACACTCGAGGATGTGCACGCGACCGTGTCGAGGATAAAATGAGCCAATTCGCATTTTTACCCATGATCCTATGCCCACCTGTGACGCACACCGCCTGAGTTCCGAGTAAGGAAAAGCTAACATGAAACATTTTGGACAATGATTTTCAGTTCATCACAAAAAATTACATGCACTTACACCCATTCCTGAACAAAAACTCTAATTTATAACTGCATGCCCTTGTCATTTTTTGCACAGGGAATGAAAATTTTCATAGCGTGGTATTGGCATTCCTTTGGGGTACGATGCGTTTCATTACAAAGTATACTTGAATCAAAAGCCTGAGTAGTCTCCGCGCAAATACCGTAAGTTTTTCAACCAGAGAGGTGCATACAGTATTCAGCATTTTTCAGTGTTCTTTCTTGTCAGATGGCAGGTCAGAGGTAAAGGAAATACACGCATTTAGCTCCCAGGGTAGTTAATTGAGCCATTTCTTTCCAATATCCTGGAGCATTTATTGATAAAAACGAGCGATATCCTGGAGGCCCGAGAGATTAGGAGCCCATCCCGCCCCCCTCCCGGGCCCCCTGCACTCCCCGGGGGCGTCTCAAGGCGTTTCATTGGGCAAGCTGTGATTTCAACCTAATCTAGCTGGCGAAGTTTCCTAGGACTAGACCAATTTCTTCAATTGACCGTTCTGCAAATATTAGAAATTTATAGGGAATGCGAGCCTACTTCGTGTGTGTGATAGAATTTGACATTTATGTTTGTAAACATCAAACTTGACCACAATGGAATCCCAAAAGTGAGCGTAGGGAAAACAGGTTCGAATCGCATGAAATAGAGTCCAAAGGGCGCCAAGGGATAACGCTATTAACGCATAAAGAAGAGTCCTAAGGGCAAGTGCGATACTAACATAAACAATTCAATTTGAAAAATATCCTAAAAGGTCGTGAGATGCTGACGTAACAATCAAATAAAGAAAATCCTAAGAATGCAAGAAAGAACAATGTTATAATGAACGAAAGATAATCCTAATGGCGTATGAGATGCGAAAGCAAAATTCGAATGAAAAGGAAGTCTAGAATTGCGCCAGGTATTAGCGTAGTAACCCAATGGAGAAAAGTTTAAACCTGCGTGAGATGCCTATGTAGCAATCTAATGAAAGACAATCCCAAAGTGTGCGAGTGCTAACAAAACAATTGAATCCTAAATCCTATACGTGTCCACGATTATAACGTAACAATCCAATAAAAAAAGAGTCCTCAAGTGTGCGAAATACTATTGTAACGTAACTTTCAAACGAAAGAGAGGCCTAAAAGTACGAGACATACTAACGTAACAGTCGAATGAAAAAGAGTCCTAAAGTGCACGAGATAGTAACGTAACAATCGAATGAAAAATAGTCCTAAAGTGCGCGAGATCGTAACGTAACAATCGAATGACAAATAATCCTACAGTGCTCGATATACTAATGTAACAAAAGAATGAAAAAGAATCCTACAGTGCTCGATATACTAATGTAACAAAAGAATGAAAAAGAATGCTAAGTGCGCGGGATACTATCGTAACAATCGAATGTAAAAATATCCTAAATTTCGCAAGATACTATCGTAACAATCGATTAAAAGAGAATCCTAAAATGCACGAGATACTAACGTAACAATCGAATGAAAGAGAATCCTAAGGTGTACGAGATACTAATGTAACAATCGAATGAAAGAGAAACCCGTAGTGCGCGAGATACTACTGTAACAATCGAAGGAAAAAGAATCTTACAGTGCTCGATATACTAATGTAACAAAAGAATGAAAAAGAATCCTACAGTGCTCGATATACTAATGTAACAAAAGAATGAAAAAGAATCCTACAGTGCTCGATATACTAATGTAACAAAAGAATGAAAAAGAATCCTACAGTGCTCGATATACTAATGTAACAAAAGAATGAAAAAGAATCCTACAGTGCTCGATATACTAATGTAACAAAAGAATGAAAAAGAATCCTACAGTGCTCGATATACTAATGTAACAAAAGAATGAAAAAGAATCCTACAGTGCTCGATATACTAATGTAACAAAAGAATGAAAAAGAATCCTACAGTGCTCGATATACTAATGTAACAAAAGAATGAAAAAGAATCCTACAGTGCTCGATATACTAATGTAACAAAAGAATGAAAAAGAATCCTACAGTGCTCGATATACTAATGTAACAAAAGAATGAAAAAGAATCCTACAGTGCTCGATATACTAATGTAACAAACGAATGAAAAAGAATCCTACAGTGCTCGATATACTACTGTAACAAAAGAATGAAAAANATACTAATGTAACAATCGAATGAAAGAGAAACCCGTAGTGCGCGAGATACTACTGTAACAATCGAATGAAAAACAATCCTAAAAGGCGCGAGATGCTAACGTAAGAATTGAATGTAAAAGATTCCTAAAGTACACGAGATACTATCGTAATAATCGAATGCAAGATAATCCCAAACTGCGCTAGATACTATCGTAAAAACCAAATAAAAGAGAAACCTAAATGCACGAGATACTAACTAGATACTATAGAATAAAAGAGAATCCTGAAAGTGCGCGAAAAGCTTACCTAATAATCGAATGAAAGAGAATGCCGAAAGTGCGCAAAATACTAATAACTTTTATTTATATAGCGCTCATATCCTGAGCTCATGGCGCTTTACACCACTGTGCAGGGGACTTTACCAGACTGCTAAGCAGTTTACAATCAAATAAAGGCGAATCTAACAGATGCCCCCTCCCCCCAATTCCCAATAAACGTTCCCTGCCTGACCAAATTAACTAATCAATGGATGCAGGAGACGGGACCTCCGGTTTATTCGTCCTTATCCGAGAAGACTTTAATGTCTATCCATTTCTTGATGTTATAGAAAAGTAGCACATTCTCCTCAGTTATTTTAAGACCCTGAGTGTTGGTCCGGCCGGGGCTTGAACCCTCGACCTCCCGCACAACAGTCCGGCGCTCAACCAATTGAGCTAACCGGGTTACTAACATAAGTTTTGAATTAAAGAGAATCTTAAAAGTGCGCGAGAAGCTAACGTAACAATCGAATAAAAAAGAATCCCAAAGCGCACGAGATAATAATGTAACAATCGAATGAAAGAGAAACCCGTAGTGCGCGAGATACTACTGTAACAATCGAATGAAAAAGAATCTTGAAGTGCGCGAGATATTAAACTAGCACTAGAATGAAAGACAATCTTAAAGTGCGCGTGATACTAACGCAACAATAGAATGAAAAAGATTTCTAAAGTGTGCCAGAACTAACGTAATAATCGAATGAAAAAGAGTCCTAAAGTGCGCGAGATACTAACGTAACAACGGAATGAAACATCCTTCAACCACCTCTCCCCCAGGCAATAATAACTGACTGCTTCCCAACTCCTAATTTGAAAAGAAAAACTATCAGCTACGATTCATCCTTAAAGTTTAAATTGAAACCCTCTAAATCATGTTTCTTTAGTGCGCTTAGAAAGGGTATCCGTTCACTTCGCTCCAAGGTCAGTTCGCTAAAGTCAGTTCGCTCCAGCCAAAAGTTAGATCAGCTCCCAATAAAAGTTACTTCGCTCCATACAAAAGTGAATTCTGTAAGGAGCCTCTTGGACGTGCACAGCTGTCCCTTTACCCACTGATTCAACCCTGTAGATCCGCCTTGTTTCTGTAGGAAAACTTAAGAGAATCCGACTGGTTATCAGACTCATTACAGTTGTGCCAAATAGCAGAACAGCAAGTGGTGTAAGACATTGCGAACGAGTTGTAGAGGCACATTTTTGAAGAAGTTGATTGGATATTCTTTTTCCGGTTTAAAATATCTAACTGCTTTCGAACTTTCTTAGTAAAATAAAAAAAATAATAATAATAAAAATAGTCTTTATTTCACTGATAAAATACATATCAAGTGTTACATATAAAGTGTAATGGGCTAAAATAGGTATTAATTACTTACAGCTAAGTTATGCTTAAAACTAAGTCTATTAATAAAAGAATTTTAAAACGCTCAGTATTGCAAAGTGGATATATTGGCTTAACTTGCCTAAGCCTACGGTTACCAGAGTTAATCCTGGGAAGGGAGTGGTGCAATGGATGATGTTCCCACGCACTTAATTTAAACTTCTATCCCATATGTTGTGCTGC